ACGTGGGCGAGAGGCTATATTTAGACCTCAGTGTCCTGCCTGCCCTACTTGGTGGAAGGACAAGAGCTATTTCCTTCTCGAACAGTCGAGTGTATCGATACCTTCAGCTGCAGCGTCATCGTTGGTGACTGTCCTCCACACAGCCCAGGACACAGCGACACAGTGACGTTCACCAGACGCTGCTCTGCTGCCCGGCTAGCCCGGCTAGTTCCCATTTCTCCAATGCGCAGCTGCGTCTCTGCACACTGCAGTGCAACTCGGCCCCAGTGTCGTCCGTCCTTGTGTGTTCACTTCAAAACTGCCAACCTCTCAATGGCAAGATCTAGACTGGTCAGTAACTCCAGGGTTGTAATGAAGTCAGTGGGGTCCCCGCCATCTCCTGCTCAGTGTGTCGAACCCCTAAGCCTCAGCACACTAGGGAGGGCCCTCATATCCACGGACCTGCGTTCCTCTGAGGGTGAGGACACAGCCAGGCAGTGGGGCCGCTCGGGAGGACATGGGGAGATGGCTGTGTCCAGGACCAAGGGAGAGGCTGCAGGAGGCTCCTTGAGATGAGCCCCCCTGCAGGCTTGGGAGTCAAGAACTTTGTCACTATAGCAGCCCATGCCTATTAGCACTGGCTTTTAGAACTGTTGTATATTTTTTCTTTGTAAAATATTTAATATATATATAATATATAAAAATATATATATGGAGAAGGGGAGACAGATAGGAAGATCTTCCATCCACTGGTTCATCCCCCAAGTGGCCGCAATGGTTGGAGCTATGCTAATCTGAAGCCAGGAGCCCAGAGCCTCTTTCAGGTATCCCATGTGGATGTAGGGTCCCAAGGCTTTGGGCCATCCTCCACTACTTGTGGCTTTCCCAGGCCACAAGCAGAGAGCTAGATGAGAAGCGGCGCCACCGGGATTAGAACTGGCACCCATATGGGATCCCAGCATGTGCAAGCAAAGACTTTAGCTGTTAGGCTACCACACTGGGCCCAGAACTGTTGTGTTGTGGAGGTTAGAAAACCATCTATTTGAGGAACCAAGAGCACTGTTCAGCTCTCACTGCTCTCAATGAGACCTAGGAATTTCATAGTCGTAAGTCAAATGGGGTTGCTAGGCCCAACACTCCAAATGCAGTTCAGACGTTGAGCTGCACTGACATCCTTGTGAGAGGAAGTGTGTACGTGTGTGTGCAAACATGCACTTGTGACTTGTGCAGTCCTCAGGGACACCACGGCGTAGGCCCTCTAGGTCCTACAGTGAGTCTTTTCACTGGACGAAGCCCAGCCGCAGAATCCTGCACCTTGGCATCACACCCAGACTGGTGGGGCCGTCTGCCAACTTCCTTCATCAAAGAAATCCCAGAAGCTGGCACTGTTGGGCAAACATCATGACTGTCCGGCTCCTGCTGACCAAGCACTCCGACTCGGCCTGCCACTGTGTGCATCTTCTGCCATGCCAGAGCCTGAGGCAGTGCAGCGTGAGCTAAACCTGCTGGTAGGGGCTGCAGTCGCCTCACCTGCTATGGTCATTGGAAGCCAAGAGCCCAGTGAGGCTCAGGGCCTGGAGCGTGCAGCCAGTCCAGTGAGCCTCAGGGCCTGGAGCGGGCAGCCAGTCCAGTGAGCCTCAGGGCCTGGAGACCAGTGCAGTGAGGCTCAGGGCCTGGAGCGGGCAGCCAGTCCAGTGAGGCTCAGGGCCTGGAGCGGGCAGCCAGTGCAGTGAGGCTCAGGGCCTGGAGCGGGCAGCCAGTGCAGTGAGGCTCAGGGCCTGGAGCGGGCAGCCAGTGCAGTGAGGCTCAGGGCCTGGAGCGTGCAGCCAGTCCAGTGAGGCTCAGGGCCTGGAGCGGGCAGCCAGTCCAGTGAGGCTCAGGGCCTGGAGCGTGCAGCCATCCCAGGACCTGTCATTGGCAAACAGGCAATGCTAACTGCTGCTGCTGCCGTTAGTATCAATGCCATTCGTTTGTGCCCAGCAGTACGGAGGGTTCTGAGCGACAGGGAGGAGGGAGGAATGTCATTCATTCAACTGCCATCTGGTTCCATGCCCCCTGGCAGTGTCTAATTAATTCAAAGGGTGGGGGGAACTAAGGGGTGAGCCAATGGGAAAGCAGAGCCCTGACTCGCTCTAACACCAAGAGGCTTCTGGGGACCCTGCTGCTCACATGGCTGCAGGAACAGGGTCCACCAGCTGCAAGCATCCCAGACTCCCAACCAAAAGCAGAAGTCACCAAACTGCAAGGTACCACATGGCTTGGTCCCTCCATGCCAACAACTGCTGCTCCAGGCTCCAGGTCCTGGTCCTTGTAGTGGCAGAAAATGGTGCTTGTCTAGACGCAGCCAACTGTGGGCACGGGCACTGTAGTTGCAAGACCAACACCTTATAGCTTCTGAATGCCAAGAGAGAGGAAGAGTGATTCACGCGTGCGTGCACACACACACACACACACACACACACACACACACACTACCCTGAGCTGTGGATTGCATTCATTTGGCTGAATGAAGAGATACGAATTAACAGTACCCTTTCAATATTTTGTCAGTTCATTTTTAAAGCACAGAAAATTTTCATTCAATTATGGAGAACCAAAGGATTTCCCCAAATGTCTGTTTCATCGAAAGAGACTCCAGTAACAAGCACAAATGGCCAGAGAGATGTGTCCGTATTACTCCAGAAGGCAGAGGCCTTGCGAAGCCACAGCAGTGCGCGTCTTCCTTTAATTCCATTCCCTGCCCCCATGCTAAGCCTCCCTGTCTACTGCAAGAAATTTGTTATGAATTTAAACCAACCACGACTCATAAGGCAACACGCAAGCGATTTTGATAGCTCGGCCAACAAAAGGATCAAAGCTACCCTATCTTGGGACAAACCTACATTTTTTACTTGTCACACCAATATTTTCATCTTATTCTACAAACTGCTTTGTGTGTGCTCTGGTGGCACAGACACGCCACATCTGCCTCCCGAAAGCCAGGCCTCGCAGGGTGCTCTTCTCCAAAGCAAGAAGCGAGCAGCTCACTGATTTTGTGGCTTGAGAAAAGGCATCGTAAAAAAGAATTGCCGATCACTGGAGGGCCACGCCTAGGACATAACCTCTCTGAACGTCATCATTGCTTTGGTAGCAGTCGGGGTTCTCAGGGAATATCCAGTCAGGCATTCGGATCGCTCTCCCAAAGCAGATTCCCTCTAAGGAGGGAGAGCAGGTGCTAAGTGCCACACGCGCTGTGCACGGTGGCTTCGCAGCCGCAGAGAGAGGCACACTTCTCCTCGGGTTACCTGAAACACTACCAGCACGCTTCCCCAGAACCCTAAAACATTTATGACGAGTCATTTCTTCAACTCCTCACTGCATGTTCAATATTTCATGTGCATTATGCAGGACTTTCTGCTGCAGAGCTGTATGTGGAAGCCAGCATGGAAAACGCCAAAAAATTTGAAAAAGTGCGACGTTTTTACTCTCATTTCAAATGTTGAACAGATAATACAGTTCTCCAGGCAGAGGGCAAGGAGTTTAATTATGATTCTATCAGATCAATAAATGAAGCCCCTAACATGTAAACTAGAGGTTAAGACTTAGTTCCCCTAACCCAGACACGCAGTATGCGATGCTAGGACTCTTCCAATGGAATCAATAGGCACCGACAGAATTGAGATTATTTACATTTAATACAAATACTGCAAACACTATGTTTGTTAAGACAGTTCCCCCTTTTAAAAGCAATTTCTTCATTTTTCATTGGGAATCCTGGCGTTTGTACCATTCAGAATGAAGGCGATAGCCCTGGGGATCCCTCAGCTATCAGGCTGTGTGAGCCCACCGAGTGACCTTCCTGTGGCCCAGATCCCCAGCCTTCCCTCCCCGCGCAGCACGAGCCAGCAGCAGGCTGCCACACAGAGTCCCGACAGGCAACGACTTAAGAAGCAACCAACACAATTCTGCACAACAGCTCCAGCTTATTTGTATAAATTCTGCTAGAAAAACAAGTTGTGCTTCACCCATCCTCAGCTGTGTTCCATGAGTGCCAACGCTTGGCTGCAGGACCAACAGCGGATCTGGCAAAGCAGACGGGCACGGCTTCTCTGCCGGATTGGCAAGCTGGCTGTCTGGAGTCCCCGGAGTCTCACCTCTGTTGCAACTGGCAGAAAGAGCGTGCCCAGCGAGTGACACCTCCTGCCATGCAGGGGCCACAGGCAGGTGGCAGGGAAGCCCAAGGCCAGGTCCTCGAGGGTCTTAGCAAGCACCGAGTCCTCAGACGCCCATCACGCAGTGCCAGTGACTTAGAACAGCAGGGAGCTTGCTCAGGGTCAGCAGCATGTGGAACCGTCCCTCCGCCTTCGCACCCAGCCAGCTAAGCATAACGCACCTGTGCGCTCGGCCAGCCTCCCTCCCCCAGTCCTGCCTTCCCTCCCTCGCCCTCACACAGTCCTGGGTTTCTGCTCTTAAAGCAGAAGGTGAGAAGGCTCGAGTGTCTAATCAGAAGATGTCTTTAGCTCCAATAAAGGATTTCACTCCCGGGGCAGCAGGCTGCTGGCCAGAGGACATAAGGAAGAAACACGATATGTCAAAGACGGGGACCCTGGTTGTCTTCTCTGCCTTGAGGCAGGTGTCGGCAAGAGCCCCATTTTCACCGCGGCAGGGCAAAGGCTCCGAGGAGGAGAGAGCCGCCCAGGGGCCGTCCTCTCCGCACAGCGCCCACCCGGGCTTCCCCAACCCGGCAGAGGGAGCTTTTGTGTGCGTGTTGAGCAGGGAACGACAATCTGCCAGGCGCACTTGGGCCCCCCGGGGCGGGTGGAGCGTCCCCCCACCTTCACGGAGACCCCAGGACAGAAAGAGGAGAAGCGGCAAGAGAGGGGATGGAGAAGAGAGACAGGAAGAAAGAGGGGCGGGATGAAGGGAAAGCGCGAGGGATGAGACCCGCTGGGCCCGACGCGCCCGCGAGGGTGCGGGTCTGAGACCCAGCGGAGGGAGCACTGCGGCGCACCCAGGCCCGCGTCCCCGGCCGCCGGCCTTACCTGGCCCTTGACGAGGCTGGCGGCGAACTGGCGCATGACGGCCTCCACGGTGTAGGCGCTGGACCAGCCGCGCGGCGTGAGCAGCTCCATGCAGATGGCGCCGCCGTCCAGCACGTAGCCGTTCTCCAGGCGCGGACTGAGCACCCGCATGAAGGGCGGCGAGAAGGGGAAGTTGTCGGGGAAGGTGAGGTTGAGCAGGATGAACTCGGTGTTGGTCTCCTTCATGTCCTGCCACAGCACCGAGTCCTTGTCCACCTGGTGCAGCTTCACGTTCCAGTCGAACAGGCTCTCGTCCACCAGCTCCACGGAGATGAAGCGGTCGCTGAGCCGCGCGATGTCCTGCAGCTCCTTCATGAGCCTCCGGCTGCGCACCTGCGTGCAGTGCTGCTGGCGCGCGGCTGGCACCAGGCTGCCACTCGCAGCCGCCGCCGCGGGGCCCGGCCCCGCCCTGGCGCCCGCCGCCCGCTCCCGGGAGCCCCCGGCGCCCGCCGCCGGCTGCGGCGCCTTGTCGCGCGGGGCCGGCTCCGCCGCGCGCTTGCCCTTGCCCTTGCCGGGCCCGGGGCTCGCGTCGCCCGCGCTCCCGGGCTGCGGCTGCTGCGGCGGCGGCGGGGGCTTGTGCCCACCGCTCTTGGCGCCGCCCTTGCCGCGCAGCGACGCGCTCTGCTGGCCGCCGCCGCCGCGGTGGTGGTGGTGGTGCTTGGGGTCCTCGGTGTCCCGGTTGTGCAGGCGGATCAGCCCGATTTTGCGGAGCAGCGTGGCCATTTTAGGCGCGGCGCCGGCCGGGGGCTTCCCTCGGCTCCTGTCCCCGGGGCCCCGGCGAGCAGGGGCGCAGAGCGGCGGCGGCCGGCGAGGGCAGCCCCCGGCAGCGGCGGCCGGGGCGCACCGGGGCGGGCAGCACGCGCTCGCCGGCCGCTGTGTCGCCGCCGGCACAGGACGGGGCCCGCCGAGGACCGGCGTGCAGAGGAGGCGCGGCGCGCGGGCCGAGCCCCGGGCCGGTCCCTGGGCGCAGCGCCGCCGAGCGCCGGGGTCCGCGGTCCTTTGTGCGCCGCCGGGCCCGAGGCCGCACGCCGCGCCGGGGGAGCGCAGAGCCGCCCGCGGCGCCCGGAGGCGGGGAGGTGGCCGCGGTGCGGCGCGTCTGCCGGGCCGTGCGCCTCTGGCGGCTACCGCGGGGCCCGGGCCGCCGCCGCTGCGGCTGCTGACATCGCAGTGGCGGCTGCTCCGACTGAGGCGAGCGCGGCGCGGAGGGGCGGCCCCGGCGGCCGGGAAGGGGGGGCGCGGGGCGGAGCCGCGGCCTGGCCTGCTCCGCGCCGCCCCCGCGCCCGGCTCCCGCGGCGCCCGGCGCACGGCCGCTGGGGGGAGACAGCGGCGCGCGCCGGGCCGGGCGTCGGGGCTGCGGGGCGCGGGGCTGCTGGGGGCTGCCCCTCGGGGGGTGCGCGGGGCGCGGGGTCGCTGGGGGCTGTAGCTCGGGGGGTGCGCGGGCCAGGCGCCAGTGCATAGGGGTACCTTGGGGATGCAGACTCCTTCTGCGGGATTCCGGCTCCCGGCGAATCCTGAGTCCCACTCGCACAGCAGCTTCTGGGGCGGGGGCTGCGCCTGGGAGGCGAGGCCGCGTTTCTCTGGAACCGAGCCGGGAGCCAGCGCGGGGGCAGGGAGGGTGCCGAAGCGAGCCCTGCAGAAAAGCCACACCTGGGCCGCGTCTTGTCTCAGGGTGAATGCGGCGCCCTAAAGCACGTGGCTCGCCCTCCCACCCATCTGCCCTTATTTTATTTTTAATCTGGTGGAATTTCAGAGCAGACCCCCAGGAGCTGGCAGAGGCTTAGGACCGCCAGGCTAGCCTGCAGGTCACCGGGGCAGGCAGGTGGCCCCAGCCGCAAGCGGGGGGCGCGGTCAGGAGCACGAGGACCTGGGTCGTGTGGCTCGGCATCCAAACGCCACTGCCTTTTTGCGTGTGTTTGAACCTGAGCGCCTGAAGGTTCGTCCCGGGAGCGCATGAGTGATGCCCGTTAGTTTCCGTGTCTTTCAGCACTGCCACTTTCCCGGGTCACTGACTGGCTTCAGGGGTCAGGACTGGGTTTTGGTGAGTGGGCAGGCAATCCTGTGCAGGCCGCTCCTGAGCCAGCCTGGGGATGGAGTGTCAGCGGCAGCCGAGGGAAGGACTGTCTGTCCTGGTTTCGGCTTTGTTCGTTCTGCTTTGCAACTCCCTTCTGTCCACCTGTTTTTGTTGTTTATGGCAGTCACGGGGGACAGTGGCGATGATCACTTGTAAAGTTCCTTTATCTTAACGGGAGCCGTGGTATACCAAGGCAGAAGGCTGACCTTGAAGTAGGTGGGCCTTTGGTGTTGTGGGGTCCCCCACCTGGTTTTATCTGACCTATTGCGTTGGTGAAGAAAATAACCTCACAGGGCGGGGCAGAGGGCTCTGGAGCTCAGCAGGAGGCCTGGCTGCCGCCCACACCCTTGCTGGGTGCCTGTCTGTCCTGGTCCAACAGTACGGCCACTTCAGATCCAACGACAGGCTTAGCCGCCCTATGTGACAGCTACCCGGGTCTCAGGCTCAGCTGACTTGAGTGCCTGTTCTGAGAGGCTTTCTGTGGTGACACGCGGGGGGGGGGGGGCACTCTCTCCCCAGGTAGGCACCGCGGGGGGAGGGGGGCACTCTCTCCCCAGGTAGGCACCGCGGGGGGAGGGGGGCACTCTCTCCCCAGGTAGGCACCGCCGGGGGGGGGGCACTCTCTCCCCAGGTAGGCACCATCAGCTGAGGTTTGGGAATGGTGCAGTGAAAATCCCAAACAACTCCTCCAAGGCCCGCTATTGCCATGGCGACTGTGTATCCAGTTATCTGACTGTAGATGCAGTGTTATGGACTGAACAGGCCTTGATAAGTACTGGTGCTGGCCTGACCCGCCAGGATGGAGGGCATCTTTCCTGTCGTGGATTAGTCACACATACAGCATCAGGGTACCACTCTGCACAAAGCTGACACCCAGCGTCAGTGACAGCGTCAGCGGCTGCCTCTTAGCCCAAAGGTAAGCTGCCTCCTGGGGTGACTCCTGGCTCCAGTCCTGACTCGGCTGCCTGCTAAGACAGACCCTGGAGGCGGTGGTGATGGCTCTGGTACTCAGTGGGACACCTGGATTGGAACCTGTTTCACCCAGCCCAGCTGTTGTGGACACATGAGGAGTGAACCAGAAGATGGGAGCGCTCTGTCTGTATCTCAAGTAAGTACATAAAATTAACATGAGGACATTTAACAAGGGGTTTAGCTTTAAAACAAGTTAGATACAACCTAAACTGACAACAAGAGGGGAAGGGTTGGGTAAATTATGCTGAATATATCTTAGAGTATGAAACAATGGCATTATATTTATGAAGATTATATAGCAAAATGCAAATATTCATGATCTGTATAACACTTTTCAGTGAGAAAGCAAAGTGTAAAATTATATCCACACTGTAGCACAGCTCCATAAGTATCAACACACATAGGGAGGAAAGATCAACTAGGAGGCGTTGGTGCTGGTTATTACCTTGGCATAGGTGGGTTTTTCTCAACTTTCTCGACCCTCACCAGCCCAGGAGTCTGGACATTCATTGTGCAATGAGATAGTAAGTTCAGGTGTGGATAGAAGACCTTGAGTGGTTTGTAAGCCTGCCCCTTCCTCCTAACCTAAAAGATTCTAGAAGGTCCCACGCCTCACCTGAAGCATGTAAAGATGCGTTTCCACCCGTCTGACAGGTTACGGGGGGCCTCTTGTTGCTTCAGTCACTCCCTTTAGGTGATTGTCAAACATTTGGAGAAGTTACAACAAAATTGTCATCAATTTAAAAAATATATTTATTCTTACTGGAAAGACAGACTTATAGAGAGATGGAGAGACAAAGGTTTTCTCCCCAAATGGCTGCAGTGACCGGAACTGAGCTGATCTGAAGCCAAGAACCAGGAGCCTCCTCCAGGTCTCCCATGCAGGTACAGAGTTTCAAAGCGTTGAGCCATCCTCTACTGCTTTCCTAGGCCATAGGCAGGGAGCTAGATGGGAAGTAGAGCAGCCAGGACACAAGCTAGTGCCCATATGGGATCCTGCCATGTGCAAGGTGAAGATTTAACCACCAGGTTATTGTGTCAGGCCCCCAGTTCCAGAAACTTAGAGTGCCACTCCTTTCTCAAAGGGGTGGTGGGGCTCTTGTTGCTTTAAGAGTGGAGAAAAGGGGTGCAGGAAGGCCCTGCAACTTCTGGCATCAGGTCCACAAGAGACACAGCTCCCATTCGCCTTGCTCAGAGCAGCCCAGACGCCACAATAAAAGAAAGCCTGAGTGTGGAGTGCGAGCAGGCTGACCCTTGTTGGATCAAACAGCTGCAGTGGTGAATCTCCAGTTTGGTTGGGGGATCAGGAGTGACATTGCAAACCTGGACATGCATCCACAGGCGGGGGTCGCCGTGATAGGTCCAGAGAACAAAGGAACGGTTACGACAGACATGTCTACAGACGCTGTCTGCTTGCCACGCCGCGACAGGTCCTATGTAGGGTTAGTCTTGGTGTCCTCATCAGCACTTCTGTTGGCAGTTTGCTGAGAAGGGAAAAATAGTTGTCTAGATAAGGTAGGCTGTTGAGATGGATCGGCCTAGGGGGTCAGCTCCTTGAGCCATCCCAGCTGCCTGCCGGGATGCACATTAGCAGGAATATGTAGAAGCCAGAGCCAGGACTGAAACCCAGGCTCTCTGATGTGGAATGCCAGCATCTCCCCTGGCTTCCTAAGCCACTGCACCTCTGCTAAGTGGGTTATTTGAGTGGCTCCATTTCAGAAAGCCCAATCGTTGCATGAGAAGTTGGAAATGATGAATGCTCTCCATCTTCATTAAGCTTCATCTTGACTGAGCGCAGGAGTGATCCTCTACTCTGCCATTCCTTGGGACATGAGGTTCCTGCAAGTGTGACCAATGCCAAGTGCAGCAGGACTTGCTCTTCACAGAGCTTTCCTTCCAGACAACCATAGGGCAAGGTCATCATGGGATTGGGATGCTTCTGCCTTGCACTGCCCTTGAACTAGGCTTCACTCCTTTTCCACTAGCACTGATGACACCATTATTGTATTGAAAGTCAAACTCAATATTCCTCCCAGTCTTCAATCCTACTCCTGCTGCTGAGTCCTGGATTAGTCTGGGTGCAATTAGGAACACAGAAATACACTGGTTGTTTCAACAGAAGAGGCTTAATTAGTCCCAAAGATGCCCAATAAAAGAACGGAAGGTGTGCCATGGCCTCGCAGGGAACTTGCAGACATGGAGCTCTGTGAGGGCACCAAGGGCTGCTTGGAGCCAAGGTGGCTGTATTGTCAACTGCCAGGAGCCAGCAGGGATGTCATAATGCATTTGCCATCCCTGGGCTCCAAGTACTTGGAGGGGGGCACATGCAGGCAGGAGGGGATTGTGGGCTGTGGAGAGAGCTGTGAGCCCTGTGACTGTGATGGGCTCAGAGCAGCTCCTCCTGGGCTATACTTGGCTTTCCTAACAACGACATCAGCCTGTGGATTTTCTCTGGCAGTTGAAGGGGTTCTTGAGTGATGAGATGAGTCATGCATTCCTTTCTCAAGAAGAAACTGCTTGGTCCTAAGGAGATTTCCAGAGATAGTAATCTCATTTTTCCTGTCCTTTTCATCTTTGCTTGAGGCAAAGACAGTTAACTTGCTGGTTGGGTAGAAGTGTGAAATGACAGCTCATATTGTGTGTCAAGGTAGTGTCTCTATTCACTGCTACCTCAAATATT